GTCGACTAATCGTGGCAGCCCTAGACATCAATAATACTTTTTCAAATAAAATATTTATTAAAACTACAAAGAAAGTTTGCTAAAATAAAATAAATAAAAACAAATGATTCCTTATGGTGTCTTATACACCCAGCAACATTTTTTTCCACTTGTCAAATAGTCAAATATTTACTCACTCATGGCAAACTTTCAGTTTAACCTGCTAAAATCTACGGTGTCAACTCTCCTAGGGTTAGGGTTGGCTTTTATTTAGCCACATACCAAATAGGAAAACTTTCACAAGTTAGAAGATGTTAACTCCTAAATGAAGTCTCACACATTAACAATGTTTCCAAGCAAACAAATGAAAACAGTAGTGGCCGTTAACCGAACCCAAAACCCTAGAGGGTCAGTGTTGGATATTAAGAGGTTAATGTCCAGTACTTTAGCTGCTCTTTGAGTTCCACGTTAATCATCCTGATCACATACAGAACGGAGGGTTTACCAAAGCTTCTTTAGCTGGAACAAGTTGCCTGCTGCTGGAAATGAGATTGATGAGAGCGGTGATAGTGAACCAGAACAGTAAAATTGCTTAACGCTTCGCAGCTCTGAGGCGCTGCGGGGCAAGGTGATAACTCTCACATTACAAATCGCTTTTTCCATCATTAACACAAAATACAGAGAACACTAACACTGAAACTAAGCACCCCAATCTTTGCTTATATGTTCTTGTACAGCACTTCATTTTTTATTCAGTGAAGCATTAAACAGAACAGGCAATTCCGAAAAGTCAAATTCTGCAGATATCTGCTAAACGGAGTGGGGGAGATTAAGTCAAACATCAAGAACAGCAAAGTGGGTGAAGACAGATCGCGTGTTTCGATGAATTTGCTGATTATTGCCTGTGAAACATTCAGCAACATAACACGCTGCTCTGGGAGATTGGCAGCAGAGAGAAAACGTCACAGCTGGAGCTGCAATAATAGAGAAGACTGGCAAAATACTGCAACGAGCTGGTAATACGATGAGTAAAAATGAGCAACGCTGTGACTTAAAGCACAGGGAAAAACTGCCAATATCCAGCTCAGACTACTCCCCAACAGATATACACATAAAAAGTGCATGAATCCAAATCTCCTTCCTTCATGACAGATGGCCAAGCATTGGTCAGCAGCGCACAAGCAGTGGAGTGCATCCACAACGAGAACAAACAAACAGAGGCCCGAGGCCTTGTTAGGAAGTGAAGAAAAAGTCAAGAACAAATGTGTAATGAGTTTTACTGTCTGTCTCTGCAGTGACTCAGCCTCCCCCTCAATCCAAGCTGCCCTTTCACTCTCGCTGCATCTCCGGCCAAAGCCAGCAATTTAAAAAGCAGAAATGTTCTCTCTGCAACTTTCTTTTCAAACTTGCCAGAGAGGCAGCACGGATGGAAGGTAAAGGGAGTGAGGGATGAGCAGCATCGAACAAACAGCCTTAAACTAAGCCATCATGACTATGATCCAAATCCTAGAAAGTGCAAAAGGTGCTTAAGTAAATCAGTTATGGCACGCTGACTAATGAGGTGAACAGAACATCACTCATGTCTTAACAATCAAAGCCTGTTGGAAGTTAAGTAAACAGTTTCTAAAGTCAGCGTGTTCAATGGAAATCATAACTGGAGATTATGTATCGGAATTTCAGGAGCAGGACCACGCCTCCAAACACGCTCCTTCCGGTTCTCATCCATATAGGTTCCCCCAGTTCTGCAAGCTGTTCATTCTCGTTTACGTGCCCCACCCTCCATGATCTCAATTCTTTAACTTCTTCATTTCTATTCAGTACACGGGGATCTGCCAGGAGCCATCGCCAGTCCCCTTCAAGGCCTTCCCCAAACCGCAGCTCAATTCATGTCAAAGCATCACCTTTACCTACTAAAATGCTGTCAAACCTAAAATGAGGACGTGGGCCCAGCTAGTGAAATACAAAAGGCCCACGCTAATTTTGGTATTTTCAGATAGTAGAAACATTTTTGTAGTTCTCTAGTCGTTCAAGGACGCGTCCCAGACTTTCCGTGTGAGCACTGCAGGAATTGCAAACTGCAAAAACTTCCTGGAGTATACATAGGTCCCCTTAGACCAGCGATCCCCAACCTTTTTTGCGCCACGGACCGGTTTATGCCCGACAATATTTTCATGGACCGGCCTTTAAGATGTCGCAGATAAATACAACAAAATAAAACTAGTACCGGTACCGAAAAAAAGAAGATTTATTCATAACACACATGAAAAGACCCAGGAAAACCGAGTAAACGATAAAAACGATAACAAAATAACGCTGAAAACCGATAAAAACCCTAAAAACTATACATTTCACACCTGAGCCTCAACTCTCGCGGCCCGGTACCAAATGACTCACGGACCGGTACCGGTCTGAGGCCCGGGGGTTGGGGACCGCTGCCTTAGACCATTAAAGTGGGCCCTTACTTCCATGTAAGTACCCCAAAACTAGTAAGACACAAGGCCAAAGTTTGCAGGGTTTCTAGTGTGCTTGAAGCAACTGAAAAGGTCCTCTGCAAACATCCATTTGCCAGATACCACAGGGCACCTTGGTCTTGTAGAGTGCAAGGACCAACAGATTCTGAGAACAGCGGTCTTCATGTATTTAATCAGTGAATTTAGGAGCATATCACTGTTTGATATTGGCTTACGACTTCAGTTGAGGCAGTAAGGATGCTTGTGTTCTTTTCAAAGTGCCTGAAGGAAGAAGCACAAAGGCACAGAGCAGACAGAATAATGAGTATTCTGCAGGGTACGTTTAAATTTGATGGATGCCTTTTTTTCCAAGTCAGCCTGCTACACGGGACGCCTGCTCATGCCCACCGGCTGACGCAGAATAGTCACCTTGGTTCACAAACCTCTCCATGATTTCAAAGAAATGGAAGCGGGAAGTAGGACAGGACGACACAGGGGTGCAAGGAAAATAGGCTGACTGCCCGGTGAGCGAGATGAGCTTCAAGGTGCACAAATGAGATGAGGTTGGTTTAGTTTGGCACCAAGGAAGAGTTAGAGGAGTGGGACATGCAGGGAAATGGACTGAAACTAAATGCATAAAAGTATTTTCGGCTTTGCAAGGTTCTGGGTCCAAAACTGGTTTTGCATGTGATCAGAAGCACCCTGCTGTGGATACTGACATTGCTGCAATGCTACAATATGATGTCATAAATGCTTTGTGTGTGCGCACACACACACATAAAGAAAAAAGGCCATTGGGGGCGTTTCTTTGTGGCTTTCCTGGCAAAAACAAACCTAATTATATCCAGATTCCCTCTTGCCCCTCTCTCCCATCTCTGGGTGCATTTTCTGTTATGCAAGGCGTCGGCTGCTGAACAAACCCAGTACGGAGGAACACTCCTAGCAGCAGTAATCAT